GGACCAGAGGCAGGTGATGAAAATGGACCAGAGGCGATGAAAATGGTCAACCCTTTTGAAACACACAGATCTGGGCTTAACATTGATTAACCTCAAAATACGGGGTATTAATTTTCTAGGAAAACTTCGAAATATCTGTTCTATTTTTAGTGATAAAACCACCCAAAACATAATTCCAAACCGGATATAACAGAGTTTTTACTTATAACCCGAATTAAGTAGCAAAAGAATACGGGACATACTTATAACCGGAACAAGACTATATATAAGCTACACTTACAACATCTATGAGATATCGTAAGAAGCTACTATTTACCCAAAAGCAAGATCGTAATCTCCAAGTTCCCCGATAAATCTTCAAGTCAAACAACGGGTTCTTTCTTTTTATCCGTCTTCTTTCCTAAGAGAGGTTGCCACTTAAATGGTAAGCCAACGCTTCGTGAGTTAAATAGTTAAGTATTACATATCAATATCGCATATGTTTATAAACATACATAATAAACTCTTATCAATAAAAGACTTCAAGACATCATCTATATGAAAACCGAGACTTTCAAGAAACCGAGTGAATAAATAAGTACCGGATGCTAAGATCATAGGATTCCATATTCAAATCACCATAATATACCATAGCATTGATGCTCAAAACAACAAGGAGACAGGATCAACAACCAAATATATTCAGCAACGTTAGAATACCAATAAATATCAAGAACCAAGAGATCGAATCGGTAAACATAACGAGGACAATGCATCACTCCGTCCTTCACCTTCCGGGCTCATGCCAAAGTCCGAGTCAGAATCATACATTACGAGAAACCTCGCACTGCCCGCCTTCCTCTACCGGGTATGTGCCAAGGTTCCCTACTTATTGCTCTTCCTCCTCTTTGAGCAATGAGTATTCACAACCGCAGAAAGTCTCACCCATCTATCTCGGGATCTTGACTTTGCCATAAACTTTCGGCGTGCCACACGAAGTAGTACCCGTACTATGGCGTACAATTCAAGGAACAAAACAACGACTCCGGATCAGGAAAGCAAACCGATGTACCGAGATAGTAATACGAAATAGACTCAAGAGACGGAATCAAAGACAAGTCAAGATTGTGTGACTCAATTCAAGACCAAAAATATTCGTATGAAAATATATGTGTTCAAAAGAATATGTAACAATTAACTATATAACTCATCGGGCAACCGTATAATACCAAAAAGCTCCGAATTGAGCTCACAAAGCAAGTGCAATCTACCACACTTAGATTGCTTCCAAAGTGTCAAAATATGTCCTAATTACCCCCTAGAATATGTACAAAATCTCATAAGCAACGAATATAAGAAACTCATGATATACACATATCCTATTTGAACATTTTACTTAGATTTCTATGTACATCTGCTGCATGCAAAACTGCTTTGCCCATTTTAAACTCGAATTCATGTCTTGATCATAAAATAAGAAATAAACTAGACTCAATTATCTAACTAAGAAAATTGGCCTCACCTCATTTGGGTTTTTCTAAGATTTTATATAGTTTTTCAAAGTCTGCATATTTTCAATGCATTCTTAAGTCAACATTCTCATTTTCAAACATTTTTCTCAAACCATTTCGATTCCAAATTATTCCAACTTCTAAATCTCAACTTAATATAATATATTTGACATCAACAACCAAAATCCAACCTTTATTTTATCATTTATATTCTCTCCCAAATCTTTGACTTGATCAAGTCAAAGTTCATATGATGAACTTGCTTAAATCTTGATAATCTCTTGAATCTAATGACCATTTCATGTCATAACTACTAAAATGTACTCATTTTATACACTTAAGATCAAACCCATATGAAACCCTAACTCTATCTCAACATGCAATCCATATAACAAGAATGTCAACCAAGAATAAGTGCAAAGACGGATTATACCTTACTTGATGATCAAATCCTTCAAAGATCTTGTATTTCCTCTTTGATTTGAGTTGAATCAAGCCTATGTGTGTGACAATCGCACCTCTAGTGTGTGTGTGAGTTCTGGACTCAAATGACAAGAAAAATGGGCCAAAAATCCAATTTATAATAATAAAACTCGAGTTGGGTCGGGTTGGCTCGGTTAGGTACCCATTTTGACTATCAACACTTAAAATATTCATAACTTTTTGCTCGGACCTCCGTTTTCTATGAGATTTTCCCCTACACGTTCATAAAGAGATAATCTATAACATCCAATAAAAATATTCCAGAAAAGATCTCCCAAGAATATCAGTTTTACGTAACTATACCCAACTCCCACTAAATCATAGATTCTCTTAAACCTAATAATTAAATATATTTAGCAAATAATTTGGACATATTAAAAATTGGATGTTACAGTTTCATAAGGGGTCAGAGGCAACTTGGGAATTAGAATAGAAAATGAGAACGGAGTATCCACAGATTTTTTATTAAAGGAATTCCGAGACGGAATTCTTTTGAGGGGTGGGTAATGTGATAACCAGATCTTGGTTATCACCTGAGGTAATTAATATGTGATTATTTGTTATATGATTACGTGAGAGCATGATGAATTACTATAATTAATCATGTGAGAATGTGTATTTTTATGCATAGGAGATTTATGCATAACGTGTTAATATGCATGATTAAATATGCATGCATAAAATATTTTGAGTATGCATGATTGTTATATGCATGCATGGTTAATATGTGAAAATATATGTATGTATGTATGTATGTATGCATGCATAAGGCGGTTAAACCGCCTTTCCAAAAGAGGAAAGGGGTATAGATTTGAGAGTTAAGTTTCTCTCAAAACTCTTGCCATTTCAAAACATTGAGTGATTTAGAGGAAGATTGTCCGGATTGCTTTTATTGACTGAGGAAAACAAGTTTAGTTCATCAGATTTCAAAAGGGATTTCAAAAAGATAAGTAGTATCATTCATCTTAATTCATTTTGACAATTGATTCTTTGATCTAAATGCTGATTTGTGTTATAAATCTATCACCCGGACATAGCTTCAATGGGAGAAGTGTTTGTCCGGATTTGGTATAAATCGAACATAGTATCATCTGATTTAGAGGAAATCGATCATAGTATTGATCGGATTAATATGTTGATGATATTTTATCTTTGAAAATCGGATATGTATTTTAAACGGAGAAGTAGGAATATGATCAAAGGTTGTACGGATTAATATAAACCGATTGGTGTATTATTCGATTTATGTCATAAATCGTTCATGGTTTTAAGCGGATTAGTAAATCGGACAAAGGAATGTATTGACAGGATTGGTAAATCGGACATAAGACATTGTGTTATACGGATTGGTTTATCGGCCAAGAATTGACCGGAGTTGAAGTCCGGCCAAGTCTATATTGACCGGATTTGTGCGTTGACTAAAGTATTGTTCAAATAAATCACCATATTTATTATTCTTTTATGATGATAAAGTATGTGGATTTGATAAAAATGATTTCAAACAGATAATATTCCGTTTGGACATTTATGACTGCTGTCTGTTCTAATTGGAAATGTTTTGGTAAAATGATTTGATTAGGAAATAAGGGTGGCATATCAAAGAGAGGTGTATCATGGGATAAGGGTGACACATCAAGGAGAGGTGTATTATGAAATAAGAGTGGCATATCAAGGAGAGGTGTACCTTTGGATACAAGGGTGACATTTGTATGTGTACTATGTGATATAACTCTTACTATTATATCCTATAAGATTATTGTGATATGAAATCTTTATTTCTTTGTGATTTATTGGTTTAGAATCAGGGTTCTTATTGGAAATCGTAGTATAGATGTTATTGAGAAGTGGATAACAGGTTTATGGCCTGAAACTTTAAATAAACCTTGTTTATAATTAAAAGGTTTAAAAGTGGCATTACATGAAACCTGGTTGGTACAAACTTATTATGTTATTTTAAAGTGAAATGATTAGCTTTAGAAAGGTATTATATTTTTACTTGTTCATATATTGTTATATATATGAAAAGTTGTTTTAAATAAAGTTTTGGTGATTCTCTGTTGGGTTCAAGATTGTGCTTAAAATGTTGTATTCAAGTTCTCTCATTTTGTAATTGTTTTGTAATAGTTAGCTTTACTACTTTCCTTATATAAATAGATTTTATTAGGTTAATTATAATTAGTTCATGCTAATCATTTTGTAATTCTCTCTCAAGAAATATATATACAAACTTGGTGAAAATCTCTCTCTCCTCTCAATTGTGTTCTTGAAGAATTTATCTGATTGTGATTGATTATTGGGATTCACATTCTCACTCTGCAATAACATAGAAAGGGATCTCACTAGATCTTTTTGTCTAACCCTTATTTTGTGATTTTAAATATGTGTTGTAGGAGGTGCAGACGGTAAGAGGAAGGAGAATATGTGATATTTTCTTGAAGATTGTCTATGATGTGTATAGTTTTGATATGATGAACGTTGATTAGTACAAGAAATGTATTTTGAATTTTTGGACTATGTATTCTGTATGATAGAATCTTGTACTATGAGACCTGAGTGGTATATAAACATATATTTCTTGTGAATAAAGTATGTGTTGCATGCAATGTGTTGTATGAGGTGTTACAATTGAGTAGTGATATGAGAATTTTCCCTCAAACGCCAACGTCAATACATTATCCCAAGATATCCCAAACTCTTCAGAGAGAAGAATCGATCAAGTTTGCTAATTTTTGTTCCATCCTCTCTTATTCTTGTAAATCGTCTTCTTCCAAAAAGAATGTCACAAAGATTTTCGTTTTTAATGAAGTATTTTACATCCTATTAAATGTTTCCCTAAAATAACATTATAATTTATAGTAAAAATACACTATAGCCAACAAAAATAGAGAATAGATTTGAAAGCAAAGGCTACCTTATTTAATATAATTCTGAAATCGTTTAATGTAATGTCTTTATTTTGAACTAAATTTATTGAAGGGGATTTTTACTAGAATAAATTGGACATATCCCAATGGCACTTGGATCCACCGTCCAAACCCGGACTTCTTATCCTTTGATATATGAAGGTATTTCTTCCATCAAGTCTATCCACAACTGAGGCTCCAGCTGACGACAGAATGGTGGTTCTTCATTTCACTCCGATTCCTCAACCGTGTTTTCGTCAACTACCATCGTCCCGATTAACTTCTGCTGTTACTTCCAATTCTTGTACGTACAACTTAATTTCCCTAGTTCTTAGTTTTTTTATATTCAATTCGCTCAACTGAACCACATGTAAATGGGTATATAATCCATCTCTATTTGCGTCTTTCTTTCTAACAACGAAGTTGTTGAATGTATATGAAATGCTCTTGCTCCCTTTTGGCTTGATGATTTTGCTCTTGTTTTTTTAACGAATGTGCGCTGGGTTGCAAAGATGAAGTAATGTTGAGACAATGATTCTGTTTTTGATGAACACCAACTGTTTGATAAAATTCCTGAACCAGCAACAGATACATATACAAATATTCCTTTGATATTCATTTTGAAGTAGAAATGTATAATGTGTTATACTGATTGGCATTGTAAATTTGATAGACATTGAGATAGATTATATGTGTTGTACTTGTATTTTGAAGGCATATGTGGATATATTCATCAAGACATAATATCTGTTCTTCTCTTGGAGTAAAATTTTGTCTAGGCACGTGGGGTTTGACATTATAAATCTGGTGGACTCTTACATGTTAGGTTCCCCTATTTCTTTCTGCCTTCCAGACACATAGATCCAACAACATTGATTAGGCAAGCTGCTGGTAATCAAATTATTGATACTTTGATACATGTTTAGTTGATTGATCTGGTGATGTGGCATTATTCTAGTTAACTGTTTTTTGTTGAGCTATCACATTTGATAGAGGTTTCCTTGCGTTTTCTTTCATGATTGTGTATTATAGAATATTTGATGGTTTTAATTCGTCTACTGGATGAAGGCAAAGAAAATTTATTTCTATGATAGAAAGAATTGTTGTGTGCCATTAAATCATTTAAACAACATAAAAGTATAGCTGCATTTTTTGTTGGGTACTTATGTCTTTGCTTATATTGAATTATTATCTTTTTGGGGATTTGGGGGCTGATGACTCAATTGTATCTTTTCTGTTATAATCTAGTTCATCGCACTTGTTTTCGCCACCAAGTTCAATCTTAAATCGTAATATGATGTTATACTTGGAATGAAGAAAATTTGTGAAGTTCTCTATTATTGGGATGAAGTAATATTCTTTTTTTCTGAATACATACATTTGTGTGTTTTGTAACATTAGACCAGTCAAATGTTTATTATTATTGATGGTATCTAAATTTGACCATTAACCTTCCATTGCAACTTAATCTTTTTATCTTTCTGAACCTTTACCTACTCCAAACTTGTGAAAACTTATAGACGTTAGAGAAAATTCAAAAGCAAGATTCATTCTCTGGAGCTTTTTGTTTCAGGAAGAGTGATTTGTTGGGCAAGTCTTTTTCTTCCAAGTATTCTACTAAACCTTTGTTGCATTTTGATTCTAGTGGGTATAAACAACTTAAATTGGCTCCGTGAACACCTTTAATGCAAAGCTCTTAGGCTGCTGATGCAGTTGTTTGAGAGGTAGTGGGTGTATCTGTTTTTCTTCCTTGATGCAAAGCGGGTTTCCTTGTCAATCTCAAAGGTAGTGGGTCTAGGAGGTGTTATATGCTTGTGTGGTACAACCGTACAAATAAGTTACCATATAGCTAGTTGTATTGTTAGGATATATAAATCACTCAGATGCTAATTGCCTTAAATCCATCTCCTTTTGTCAGTACCCTACTTTGGTAATTGTAGATGTTGGGAACTCTACTATGTCTGTTGGAAGTTTAGATTCAAATCCAGGATAGGTATGGAATCTTAGTCAGTTGATAGGCAATATGGAAAGAAATCAGACTACTACTATGCTGTCTGCTTGGTTTTGAACATGTAGTTCTTTTACTTCCGATCTTCCCTGAAATTAATATGCTTTCATGCCTTCTGTTTGGGTGAAGTTCATCATCAAGAAACAGTTAGGATCTGTTTGTTAATAGCTTAATGACCTTAATGAGGCTCACAGCTTATTTGGTCGGCTATACATGACTGTTTGGTAGTAGCTTAATATAGAAAGTGGCTTCTAGGGGGAGCATTCTACAGAAAGCCTAGGGGGAGCATTCTATTCGGTTAGCTTCTAGGGGGAGCATTCTACGGAAAGCCTAGTTTTTTTTTTCTAAACCTACCCCTCCCAATTGAAAAACACTTTCCTTCCATCTATGAAAAAATCTTCCCGAACAAAAATCTTCTTGATCTATACAAACAGATTAATCCACATAGTCAGCGTTATCAATATAGGACTTAATGGAAAACCAATCAAAAAGCCCCTTAGTCTTGTGTTTAAGGAAAGTTCATTGCTGTAGATGTATGTGTACAAATTTGACTAAAGAATTTGCATGGATTGTTCTCTAATAAAATTCTATATTTTGGTATACAAATTTTAAGGACTCCTCCAAGGACTTCAAATTAAATATGGAGTTAAACATTCAAAAATTCATATCCTGAGCATTGTTTAACTTTGAGGCAAGTAACTTTGATCTAAATTCTAAAATATTGATTGTTCAGGATCCTGGTCTGTTTATGAGTTATTTTATATTGTATTGTTAACTTCTGTGCTTTTTGTTGCATTCTTGCCATAATGAGGCTCTTGATTGTTAGATTTAGTTTACCTTTTAGTACCAAAAACCTAAATCTAACAAACCTGTTTTCCATTCCAATTATGATGGAGTATTTGCGTTCATGGTTTCTGGGTGATTTAAGAGATAAATGTTGGTAACTTTAAATGGATTGCTGATTAGCTAAAATAATTGTCCACTTTTTCTATTTTCCAATTCTAAAGTATAAGATGGAGAAATTTTTATTAGTCTCACTTATTAAGGGTAAAATTGTCATTTAGTTAATTAGGAAGTGTAGAAATTACAAATTTCTAAAACTAAAGGGAGTATAATTTTTGGCATTTGTTAGTTTCCAGGAAGTCAGTTCACCTACAAGCAGAAGTTTTCAGTGGCCTAAAGATTCAAAGGTTGAAACAAAGAGATGTGATGATTATGAAGGCGACCTCAGAGATCGATGGCGCAGAACCAGAGAGCACCACACCTCCCAAAACCAAGGATGAAAGCTTGTCCATTGAAGAGCTTCCATTGGAGTCGAAACTTCAACTGAAACTAGATCAGAAACTGAAGATGAAGTTGGCTAAGAAGGTCAGACTCCGAAGAAAGAGGCTTGTTAGGAAACGCCAGTTGAGGAAGAAAGGCCGATGGCCGCCTTCAAAGATGAAAAAGAACAAGAATGTATGATCCGGTTTCAAATTTATGTTGTTCTCCTTTGCCTGATTTCCTTATTCGGTTTTTGTTTCTTTCATTCTCCTGAATAGATGGATCATCATTGACTAGTATAATGTTTGGTTTTGCCATCCTACTTCTTATAGGGTTTGCCTTGCTGTTTAACTTCAGGGTTGCATGAAATTAGTCAAGGTGCACGTAAGTTGGTAAACTACGATCAAGATTTTTCTAGCTATTCTTCAGGATTTATGGGATTAGTCGAGCTGCTTGCAAACTAATCCAGACACTCATGATTAACAAAAGAAAAGGAGTAAACTACAATTTTCGTCCTTGTAGGGTTTGGTAAAAATTTGCGACTTTCTTCCCTCTGCTTTCGAAATTACTGTTTTCTACTTTGCGGTTTGCAATTCATTGTTGTTTTAGTCCCTGAGGTCAACTTCGTCAATGGTTTACCGTTAAATACGAGGGACGAAATAAACAATAAATTGTAAATCATGGAGACTAATAAAGCAATGAAATGTAAACACCTGGGACAAAAACCGTAATTTTAAAAGCACATTGATGAAAATATATTTCAACAAACCATGGGGATGAAAAATGTCTTTTACTTACAATAACGTAAGGAAAATCGAGTTGCGAGTAGATTCGACTCTTGGATTGTCCTGATTTTGTTACCGCATTTTACTTGCATTCGTTTCGAGGTTGGGTTTATATTTTGGGAGTTATGGTTGGACAAATTCCCCATGTTGTTGATATCTCTTCGTCTTTGCTTTTGTTTATAATTTTCGTACATGATGATTTGCAAGTATAAGATAATTTTTGTTAGTCTTTTTTAGGATGAAACTGATTGAATATATAGAAGAGTAATCTTTTGACAAATATTCTTTAAATGCATGTCTATGTATATAGGAGCTCATTGAAACGTTACTCTAAAAAGCGTTTTGAAATTGAAAATTTATTGTTACTTTTTTCAATTATGACATCCATTAATATTAATTATTATTTGTTACTATTAATTATAAATAAATATTAATAAAATTTAAAGATTACTAATGTTATTAAATATTAATTATTAATTAATATAAACTGAAAGTTAATTTCAATTAATTTTGAGTATACATTATACATTCATATTATTTATTAATTATTTACAATAATTATTAAAAGTGATATGCATAAACCAGATGAAGAAAGTTTGGAAACATCTAATTTCAAAACTATGGAATTGATATATGATGATTTGAACTCTAATTATGCAACAAGAAAACTAGAATTTTCTCATTTTGAAATTGAATCATTTTATTCCATAGAAAGTTTTAACTTTTCTTTAAAATCTGTTTCGCAAAATAAAGAATCTTCCAAGTCTGATGATTTTGAAAATGTGTTCTATGACTCAGACCTTGAATCTGAATCAAAGGTGATTTATGATTTTGATTTGACTGAAAAGAATATTGAACAAAATGATTGGGTAATTCATTCTAATCCTGAATTTGACTCAAATGTTAAAACTTCTGCTTTAGAGAAGCAAATTTCTGAGATTGAGGCGGAGTTAAAATATGAGAAGAGATTAATGGAAGAAGCTCAAAATGAACTTTTGCTTAAAGTCAAAGAGCTTAATGATGAAATTTCTGAATTGATCATGTTTTTGGTTTGCAAAGATAAAATGCATGAGTCAAATTTACAAAAGATCCATGATCTCCAAAAAGATTTAAATCCAGTTTTGATGAACGAACCAAATTAATGAGTCAAATCATGAAGCTTGAGAAAGTTGTCAAAAAGCCTTTAAATTCAGATTTTAAAAATTCAATGATTCATTCTCAGATTGATCATCAAATAAGTCCATTGTCATTGTTAAAATTATTCTTTCTGAAAGTATTTTTGAAATTGGAGTCTTAAGGCATAAAATCCAAAAATGATTTTAAAACTTCTCCTTGGGTCTAAAAAATCTGAGTGTTCGACTGTTAACTCATATGTGAATTCAAATTTTTTATCTGTAGCAAATCTTAAAGGTGATGGCTATGAATGGAAATACACACATACAAATGCCATAATTATATCCAAATATACACCTCTCCTTGATATGTCACCCTTATCCCATGGTACACCTCTCCTTGATATGCCACCCTTATCCCATGGTACACCTCTCCTTGATATGTCACCCTTATTTCCTCATCAAAATATTTCATATAACAATTCCATATAGAATAGACCGCAGTCAATGAAATTATTATCATTTTAATTCAATTTTGTTAAAATTCCCATTTTAATGTTCCAAAAGAATCATATTTTTATCAAGATATCACTTAATTCGGTCAACCTCGTCCGGATAACAAATCCGGACAACGCTACCATAATTTGTCCGATTTAACTAAACCGGTCATCACATAGAATTATTTCTAACACTCTTGTTCGGATTAAAAATGCGGACAACACTATGCCATGTCATCCGATTTAGAATAAACCGGTCATCTCAAAGTCGTATTCCTACTTCTCCGTTCAAAATATTTACCACAATCAAAGATCATAAATCGCTCAATTCACATTCGGTTTATTTTAATCCGGTCAATGCACCAGGCGGTTTAGTTTTAGATCGCTCATGCCTTGACCGGTTTTAGTTCTTAAATCGCCCAACTCCCATCCGGTTTAAGACTAAAAGTGCGAATTTTTCCAAAACTAATTCTTCTGTAAAGAATACAGATGCTAAGCGTGGTAGTTGTAAATATGCTTTACTAACTAAGAGGAAATGTAATCTGAATGCTGAATTGAAAAATTCAAAACATTTTACTCATTCAGATATATTATCCTTAGCTCCAAAACATTTGCATTGCAACTATTATGATTACAATTCTTTCACCATCAATGCCAAATGCAAACAACAAATCAGGTCTAAGAAGTTCAAATTATCTGCTTCTTCTCATAAAACTGAAGCTGCAAATGGTTCTTATGCTCCAAAAAAGAAATCTTTCACATAATTTTTTTCAAAAGAAAGAAGAACCATTCTTTGTTGATGTGTAGTTTGTATGGAAATGGGTTCCGAAGAAAAGGTATGAATAACACGTTAAAGCTATATCTACTCATTTGTTTGGTACTAAACCAGATGTTTCAAAGTGATTTTTGTATAAACTTCTAGATAAATCAATTTAGAACTCGGATTTCAGTGTATTAGCTTCTAAACATTTCAGTTTAGAACCTATACTTCAATGTTTGTTGTGACTTCTAAATAAGACAGTTCAGGACTCAAGCTACAATGTCAGAAATTCAAGCTGTTAACGATGAATATGATGATTAGAATAATCAAACTGATGTTCATCCTCCACATTGCACACAAGACAAGAGATCTTCCTTTGTAAACGTCAAGGGGGAGCAAAAGTCTCTATTTGATCATGTCAAGAGGGAGTCTCTAAAATGCTGATATGTTTAGGTATAAGCTAAATTCAAGGGGGAGCATCATGATCTATGTTTCATTCTGCTTTGAAACTCAGGTACATCTTTCTGAACGTTAAATCTCTATATGCTTAGAAGAAGGACAACTTCTTTGAACTCAAAATGATTTTATTATTCTCAGAAGTGTGTGATTTTTAAATGTTTTTTATTTTAGTTTTTGTTTGTAACAAGTAATATCTCTGATCAGGGATTTCTTTGAGTCAATACTTGCATATTTTCTCTTCTTACATAACTCTATCACCTGATTCAGCTGTTCTTCAAAATTGTCACTTCCCGAAAATGCAATAGTCATTTTTGGTGATAATACACTTGTTTGTAATCCAATTTGTTTTCAGAACTTATTGAAAATAATTCTTCATTGCTAAACACTTCATAATTCTTTAAATGACTGATCGGTAATTTACAGATATTTGTTCTTTTCTCTCCATATCATTTGTTTTTTTGAATAATTCTTTGAATATTCATCGTGTGCTTAATTGCATTATATTTCTGATCAAATTCTTGTGATCAAAATTTTATAAGCTTAATTGCATACATCATTTTATTAAGCTTACATGAAATAATTTTTCACCGAGTGCTTATCAGATAAACCTCTATGGACTATCAGAACCAATAGTCCTACCCAAGAGGACAACCATACTGGGTGAGCTTAATTGAACATAGATTTGTCTGCTGAGATGAAAATAAAAAAGAGAGGGGTAGTTGAAGTGAGCTTAAAACAATTGAATGAGAGTTGTGTACAGGATTAAAAGAATATCAAAATCCTGATCCAGCTTGTATAATCCGGGCAAACCACATAATCTATTAGTTCTCAATTTTCTCGAGACTAATATTGAAAAAGAAAAAGCTTATGCCAACTCTTGTTTAATACCCTACCAACTACTCATTTATGTCTCAAAAGATAAGTGTTTCATTAACACTTGGGGCACATAGCTCATTATCTATCGGTTTCTCATTTGGAGTTAACTAGATATTGAAAAAGAAGAATATATGTCCACCTTCAAATCTTTTTTTTATCACAAATAGAGTATGATAAATTACTGTAGTCTACACTGTTTATCAATTTGAGCTTATATTGAAGCATTAGTTGCTTAATCATTTCTACACTGCAAAATTTTATAGAATATCAGTTATTCTATCTTAATATTCATGGAAGTCCTGGTGAGATAAACGTCAAAAAGTCTCATATATAAAAGTACATTCGTTGTACTGAATAAATCTGTTGTATTCACAAGCCAATCCTTTTATAAAAGACTAAAGACGGATTCATAAGTTGAATCTAGCTTTCCCCATCTCATGTTCTCAGAGGAACAGATAAGCGAATTTGAAAAGATTTTCTTAAAACTCTATGAATTGATGGCATACTTTCCTGATTATCATTCATTTCGATATATGATGTTTATGCTCCTCATTCACATCATAAGATGGAATACTTATCAAATGAATAAGTTATTTAAGAAGATAAAGGGAGTATATACAAAATGAATGAATAGTGTTGCTTCTAGGGGGAGTAAAGAAAAATTAGTAAAGATTTTTGAATGAATATTATTGGAAACTGAAGATTATTGCAGATTGTTGAAAATTTATTGTCTAAGGGGGAGTTACTGTTAAAAGGGAGTAAATATGAAAATTATTTCTGATCTATTTCAAAGAGGAAGATTGTTCCTTGAAGAAGTTTGTCAAAGACTGAGGGAGAT